TGTCGTGCAACTTCCGAAACACGAACGGCTAAGTCTGAATAGTTTTTGGGGCAGGGGCCCACCGCGTACCAAAATGGACATGAAAACGTCTCTGTGTCTCCGCAAAAAACAAAACTGAACCGTAAGTCTTCTCTTGTCTGCCATCTTCTGCATACTGACGGGAAACCGCGACATAATCACCTCGCGTTAGCTAGCCTGATGCATATACCACCTAGCGGTATCTCCATGAACTAACGCACTTATGACAGAAAACTTCATCCGTAACGTGGTTGCTGATTTATCGTTAAAACAAATAGGGCATCATTTCGTGCGCCACCCTGTATATATACTCGTATACAAAAGCTAACGCCCCCTGATGTCGAAAAGAAATTGCTATCAGAATATCGAAAGCTGTGAAATTACGTCAACGGGTTTTCGAGGGTTAAAACGAACGTGTCTTACGATTGAGATATCTTTGATTTTTCGTTAATATTCTCTATCACGTTCTGTTTTTCATTTTTCTACTGATACCTAACTGTAAATGTGTGAGGAAATCCCTTAAAGCTACACATTGACGTGTTCTGATTGTTTGTGTGCGTCGTAGTAAGAATGACACGTCAGCTTTTCGAAACACGCAGATTACTTAATGAGCTGTGCCGATAGCAGCGTAGCATTTGTCCACTGTGCTTCTCCGTTGTCGTCCGATGCTCGCATCGGAAAATGTCTCGCGATAAATTTTATCTGGTCGTCACTCACTGTTCTGCTTACACCACAGAACTGGAATTGTTTACATTTACGTCTAACTCGAGAACGGACTTGCCAATTTGTACCAAACTTAGCATGAGTATTCCGTGAAACGAGAAGGAGATTTCTTAAGTGTGAGAACTCCGGAAAAAAAAAGTCTTCATTTTGATTGCCAACAAAATTTTGATTCTGCAGCTCGGAAATTAAGCACGACAGATAATGTTGGGTTTGCAGATTATGACGTTAACCATACTAATAAAAACTACTTTCTATGCAGCTATAATTTACGAATCGAATGATTTGGCCTATGCTTTCGGGTAATAAAGATTTATATAAGAATGTTAACATTTATTCCATTTTCCAGCAGGCGGGCAAGCTGCTAGTAGCTTATAACTTATAATACACTTATATTAATTAATGTATGTGTAATTAGGCCTGGGGAAATATACGGGATAGCATGAAAATTTTAGCTGAGGACAGTGCAGGGGCCACACGCCCCAAGAGAGATTCGAAAACGCGTGTCAATCACGTATATAAGCGCACCGTTCTGCTATTGAAAACGAAAACGAGGATACAAAGTACGAATGAGAATTTTACAAGAAACAAAAATAATTGTATGATACGAAGCTCACAATGGTCTCCGGAGCTCGATAACTGGGACCGTGGGTTCGAGTCTCTGTCGACGCAAGGACGTGTGTCCTCGTTTTTCGGTTGTTGTTCTTGGGTGGAGACTTCTGGATCGACCGTTCTCCTTTGCGAGGAGGTACGCCACACGTCTAGAAGGGTTTACAGTTTCAGAAGTTAATTCTGAACTGGAAGAGGCCGGAGGAACTGATGAACATCGCAACTTAACGAGAATAGAGGCACGGGCACGGCTGTCGTCGTCAGTGACGTGGAATCGGGTGATCCGTGGTCGGGGAACATGTGGTCGACCCACATCAGAGGAGACCCAAAGCAACGCGTGTTTTCGTGCGTGACACTAATAATATCTCACAAACCTCACGGTCACACCACCGCAGAAGGAGCTGAGTTCGAAGAACAATTCAGATTTTGTTTCATCTCTCCTAAAAACTTGTAGGGTGTTTGAGAAACATGTGAATCTTTGCATTTTCCCGAGCAAACTCTAAACGTTATACATTGATTTAAAAGCCTGAGAGAAAGAAAACATTCGGTAGATCTAGGCATAGACGGGGATTATAATAGTAATTATTATTATTACTAATGTTATTAATGATAGTTTTGGGAGGGTTTGGATCGAATTCTTCCGGCTCAGAACAGAGACCGGTGGCGGGCTTTTGTTAACACGATACAAAATGCGAGAAATTTCTTGAGTAGCTGAGTAATGCTGGTTTCTAAAGAAGGATTTTGGTGCATGGGGATAGTCGATTCTTAAACTAGTTTATTACACGTTAAATTAAAAGTAATAAAAATTGTTAGTGCAGTTTTGATACGTTCTCGTGCTACGTTATGATGCGTATAACAGTAATGTTTTTTTTTTTTGCAGAACTTTGTGCACTATTGAGTTTTATTTAGGATAACGTAGTTTTCCAATTTTAATTTCTTTGTTTTGGATACCCCGGCTTTAACTAGACGTCCGAAAGACAGGACGAACAACACGTAAATAGAAAACAATCCCGAAATCGGAAAACGATAACACAAACAGATTAAATGGGGGAAAATTAATTCAGCACGAAGCGACTCCATACTCAAGGGACAGAATACAAGAACAAACAAAGAAATTAAACCTGGGGAGTGTACTTCATCTTCAATAAAGTTCAAGAGTTCGCATGACTCACAAGTCCCACGAGGACACACACCGTAAGTATTTATACGTAGTGAATTTAAAAACGCCTTTGAATTCTTTGTAATGCTGTCCCGCAGAGCCTGTTGGAGTCTCTTGGACTGATTTTGTTCCAAGCGCTTCGTAAACACAAATTACGCCATCGCAATGCTTGATGTGCATTAACCGACTAAGAACCAGTTTCTGTGAAAACGTTGTAATGGAGTCTGGAGCCCGATTCGGACAGAAGTGGGGTGTGGAACGACGAATAGGACTAAGGAAAGACTAAAGCCTTAGCGTCGAAACGTCGGCCATGAAAAAATAAATAATATTATTCTGTTGAATAAAATTATTATTTAATTTATTTAATGTAAGATAAACATACAGAAAATAAAAAAACTACAGAAATCATAATTGAGTTTTAAGTTCTTAGATATATTTTACACCTGATGATGGTTTTATAAAAACCGAAACATGTTGTGTAAATGTTCCGAAATGTAAATCGATCAATCGATATGGAACATGAATGATATTTTATTATCTTAATTATAAGAAATTTTAAATAAAAAATTGTATTGTAATCAGACGGATTAAAATAAATAATTGTTAGAATATTCACAATATGACGCAATTACACTATCTTATACAGAATGGAGTCGGACGGAACCCGTGGTTGTAAATGTGATAAATTTGCCGGAATAACCCATCAAGTAGACTTATAAAGATGATGTCTTTAGGGACATTTCGCATTTGTAGTCTCGTAGAATTTTACCGACGTTTCAGATATTGCTCCTGCCTCAGCCATCAGGGCGAAGAGTCACTGATCGCAAAATTCCAGGCAGTCAGACAGTCGTCTAAATACTTGCCGTCATGACGAGCAGAAATCTCGCTCAGGTGGACTTGTATGCAAGTGACAGGAAAATACATATTGGAAGGCGAATAGTTTTTGAAGATGTGAACCATGGCGGGTTTTATGAATCGTTAAATGAAATTTCGGGTACCGTTATACGGAATTTCTAGGCCAAGAAAGTAAGTGGTGACCCACTTACAGCTTTTATTTTGAAAAGATCCATTATCGTATGTTTTCATGGTAGTTTACAATTCACGTTGCTGAGAAGGCACGAATGGTTGGCTTTAGCTGTGGTCAGACGGTAGGACATGCTTGTTTCGCCGATCTGACACACTAAATACGTAAATCCAGATCACAAGGAGCAGTGTTTCCAAACGAGATACATCGTCCGTTCCGTGGGAACGGTTAATGGCCCAGTTAATGAATTCGGCAATTCACCTACCGAACAAAACATTGTATAATAATAGTAGTTTACTTTGCAAAGCAATGCCGCGTGATCAGGCTGAAGGAAGCCATGAGACTGTGAAACCACACGACTGTAGCACGTGGCTGTCTACCTGCCACAAGACAGGCGCTGTGTTAAATGTGTACGTAAGTAGCGGATAAGAATGTGGAAGTCTAATTGGAGGAATTCGCCTCGAAGGACGAGGTAGAGAACAAAAGACGTTGTCCTGTTGCAGGTTTGAAATGGCTTTTTTTTCGCGAATTTCTGCCCCTGACGAGAAGTGAACCCAAGTCGTCTAACCGGTAGCCAGTCACTCCACTGACTTAGTTATCTCAAGAACCTGGAATTACTAACTTTTGGCTTCATACAGAATTGTAATGTCCTCTGAAGATGAGTTTTGTACTAACCCAGAATTATATTAAGTCTTGATTGAATGATTGCATTGAGATAGAATTATTAATACAGAAAGAATTTTTCGAGAAGCGAAAGGCTTGTAGAAAAATACAAATTATAATGGAATAAATTAAGGGGGGCATCGTGAAGTGGTGTGATACTCACGTAAGCAAATTTATTAGTGGTATTTCGGTGGTTTGGCTCTATTCCTCAGAATATTATGGAACATACTAATTTGTTTCGCACGGTCAGCTGATCCAGAGAGCCAATGAGAGGAGGCGACAATCTGGCCACGACCTTCCACGTTGCACAGGGATCGCCCTATATTAGGGCGACTGTGGCCTGAGGGTGTCAGAAGCTCCTGAGAGACGACGTTGGTTGGACCAGCAGCTTTGCCACAAGAACTCAAGTCTTCACTGTTCCTCAAAGGTACGCTAGATGGTTCTTGTGATGCCACGCTGTTTACTTACGGAGGAATGGTAGCTTGTAGCATACACGCTACTAATAGTAGGTCAGGGGTACGAATTTCGCGCTCTGTCGGCGGTGGGTCGTGATCCTTAAGGATTTAAGGAAAATAGATAATTATTTTATTGCTTATTTTAAACGACGTAACACAATATAGCATCCACGTGTTGATTTTTCATTTTGTTTTAGAGGCGAACATTTCAAGTTACAATTTTGAGTTAGTCGTAAATTATGCTATATATCTTCAGCTAAATTAAGTAAAAATGTCCTGTTGTGTGACTTCTCATCTCGTACCGCACAAAGAATAATGCTGCCAACAGATAAAATTAAAGATATCCCGCTGCGTGCCACTTAGACGCGTAGGGGGAGAGCGGATACAGCCCCTACTTATTCACAATTTCGACACTAGATGGGGTGAGTGGTCAGAGTCACGCCTCGGCCGCGCTTAACACCAGGGTAAAGGACACCCGATATCCATTGGACAGGAGGCTTAGTGAGCCTTAGAGCTGGTCTGGACGGAGAGGCTAGGAGAAAATTCTCTGCCCCTGTCGGGGATCAAACCCCGGTCGTCCGGCCCATGTCGGTATACTGACTGAGCTACCTAGGCAGATAATCATAATGATTAATGATGCTGATGATGATAGTAATAATAACGTTCATATCAAAATCCACGAACCGGAGTTATTCTTGAGAAACTGACAGTCCCACAGCTGTTCCTGAAATTCTCCGCTACTTATGTAACGCTGGTAGTTCACAAGAGCCTGACACAATTTATTAACTCGAGCCACGCGAGCCCTTGTTACATGAAAGTCTATCTATTTATAAGTAAGTTATAACTTTGATGTTTTCTTTAAGTAACATTGTACCTAACGAAATTTCACCCAGGATCAAAATCACACGAGTCCAGTCCTCATCCTCACCGTATTTATTTAAGTTGTATTTTGTTTACTTGGTTCGAATCTCGAACTATCAAACCGATTGATTTTACTCAGAACGAATATGGAATAGAATCTTTAAGTAACTTATTAGCTTATCATTGTGTCTGAGGAAAACAGAAACGAGGTTTCAGTTATAGTCGCAGCTTTGAACTTCAAAACGAAACGTGGAACATTTGCACGGTACAACATTTGTGGATTGCTTCGTTAAGTCACAGACTCTGACAGATATAAAGTTAAGTTTTGTTTAACATTCTATGCATAGAAGATAATCTGTTGTGATGTGATCCGTTTACATAACATGGTTTCCTGTTTGAAAAGAGACAGGAAAACAGTGTTTTATGTACATCATTATTAACTTTTCGGCTGTACTTGTTACCCCATCTTTAGTGTAGAAAATGCAGGCAGCAGGTACATCTGAAACGGTAGTAGCTGTGACTAGGCGGTGTAGAACTCTAAAATACCAAGTCCCATTCAATCCAGTTTTTCTGTTATCTTTTACCAGACTGCTAACAGTCCACTGCTAGGTCAGAGTTTGTTTCCTGGCTGGTGGTTTAAGATGTAAGCGTACCGTTAAAATATTCAAAACGGCTCGGGAAGTATTTCGGGACCATATTCGAAGCAACCATGCTTAATGTCACAGGAAGGACGGTCAGGGTTGTCTTTTTTCTAGTACGAGATAAGCAGATATTATAATTTTTCACACATCCTCATGAGACAACGTAGAGAAATTTCTTTTTATTTTCGATATTTAATTCGGTGTGTTTGTTTTTACGGTACACTGGTAAAATTTAAAGAGAATTATTCAAGTTGATTGAGAGAAATGTTCAAAAATATTTGTAATAAACTTCATATTATAGAAGAAATATTATAATAATTATAATCCATAATCATTTTAATTGAATAAAAATTTCCTTGGATATTATCCATCGTCTGGTAAATATAAAACGTAAAACGACGTTTCGGAGATGTTATAATTTTTAATAAGTTCTCCAGTACTCCTGTGGTGAGTAAACTTGAATGGATTTCGCAGACACTAATTAGAGGAGTAATGGCAGGCGTGCAGAGAAATTAGTGTAAATTAAGAGATGGCGAAACACCCGGTACAAACCTATGATTACGGCGGAGACACGAGGCAGCGCGTGTCATCTGGACGCAGTTTAGGCTTAAATCCACGACGTGACTTGCAGAAAATTTCACTCCTACTTCCACGTAATTTGTGGCACGGGTAGATTCTTGTATCTTTGCCCAGTTTAACACGTGGGATAAAAATACAAGAACACACCCATTTCATTTAAATCAGTTGAAATGTCCGTTCCACTGTTCGTAACTTTCAATGTCCAACAAATTGTTTTTGTTGAACCATAAGCGCTTATTCTGAAACAAAACAAACAGGCTTTAGAATAGTACAGCCCATGAACGTGGACCCACTGGTGTTGGTAGAGACTGTAATTATAAGGAGCATATTTCGTTTGATAAGCTAGCAGTTCCTTATCTCTTGAACATATTTCCCGGTTCGTATACAAGCCATAGGTTCATTAAGTTAGGTTTGCAAGAGCACTCTACTTTACTCTACCCTGGTCCACTTCAATGTAGTCTACATCCTCCACCCTTTTATTTGATGCATTTTAATATTATCCTCAACTCTACACTTAAGTCTTTCAAGCAGTACTATCTCTTCGGGTTTAATAACTAAAATTTTTTTTATGAAATTCTCATCTCGCTCCTGTGTGCAGCCCGTATCAGTCGCCCTAATAATCTCTAATTAAGGGTATAAACTGTAAAATTCCTAATTATGAAATTTTCTCCAATCTCTGCTTACTAGCTGTTTGTTAGATTCAAAATATTCCAGTCGTTACACTCGTGGGTTTGGTAATAAATTATGTATATTTGTAGCTAAATTTTATTTTTATATTTGATCTGTGAAGTGGGACCTGAT